TGCTGTAGACATGGTGTCGATTATGCTGGATGAGACAAGTGCTGCAAAATTGAAAACTATCCCTCTGTCAAACGATACAGTTGCACCTATATTTTATCTGTTTTGAACTTGGTGTTATTTGATATTTCAATAAAATTTGATATTTTAAAATTGGCCAATTTCGTTATTTTTTTGGCAAGTGGGGCTTGAAAATTCGCCCACCCTCTTAAGTGGGGAATGACAGAAATGTTTGAGAACCACTGTGTTAACTAATTCCAACTCAGTGAGCCTGTTTTCTTACTAATATTTGTATCAGGATCTGTTTTCACACAGTCCTTGTCCTGTTCTGGAAAACTCTATGGCAAAAATGTTACAACTGAGATACATAAATATTAACTACACTTGAAAAGTCTCATTACAATTACAACTAGTCTACAATGCAATAATCAGTACAACAATGAAAGGTTTTAACAGAAAATGTCTAAAATTTGTGGATCAATTACATGTTTAAGCCATTTCTTAAGGAAAAAAAGTCAAAAAGTAACTCTGTTTCTCAAATGTGATTTTTGTTTTCTTAGTTTTGATAGTAAAATGAATATTTCCATGTTTAGGACTACAGGTAAAACAAAAAAAGTCATCTGAATACATCACTTTGGGTTACGGAAACCTGTCATATAAATATTTTAAAATATGCTGACATTGTAGAGGCCAAAAGGTTATTAAAAAATGAAAATAATCATTAGTTGTAGTCTTAACAAGATTACAGAAATTTTGATGTGAACCTGTGCAGTGGTTGTTTTTACATGTTAAATGGTTGTACCACAGTCTCTGTGGGTGCATGGACTCACAGCACAGTCAGTGGGGAGGTCTGTATCCCACTTCCTGTTCTTAAAATCGCCACCACCGTTCCAGCGGAAAGAGCTCATGCAGCCACTGTGAGCCAGCTCTGATGAGACACAAAAACACATAAAATACACACACACAGACACTCCTATATAAGAAACTCTCACTTCATGCACATGTAAGTGTACTTTATAGATTAGGCTACCTTTGATCCGGTCCACTAGGTATTCCTGGTTGGGAGTGATATCCAGGTACTGGACAATAGAATTCATTGTAGGAATGGAAGAGGCTTTCATCACTGCTGCCTGCTTTAAACTGCTTATGCTGGCTTCTGGTGGAGCAAGAAGGGAAACTGGTCGCACTTCAAAAGCATATGAAAAATACTGCAGATTGAAATTGCAATAACGACTACCAAATTTAGGTTTTCAGACTGAGCCTTTAAGTACTAGTTCTGTTGTTGTAACTTTAAAAGACATTTCACATATTTATTTAGATACTCTGGTTCTCTAATGCATAATCTTTTAGCAAATATTAACCCTCCTGTTATGTTGCAGGTCAAATTGACCCACGAACATAACTGCTTTAAATGAGACAAATATTTGATATGAAGAAATGAACATAACAAGACCTGTTATGTTCATTTCTTCATGTCAAATATTTGTCTCATTTAAAGCAGTTATGTTCGTGGGTCAATTTGACCTGCAACATAACAGGAGGGTTAAGTAACATTTTTATCCAATGGCAAACTTAAAAATATAAAATTTCACACACTTTAAGTTGACCTAATTTTCTTTTTTGATCCTTTATGAGTGATTCCATGATGCATAGTTTGAGGACAAAGCACATTTGCCATGATTCCCATTTTCTTCAGATGGGTTACCTCCTATCTGGAGCTCAGGGCAGCCCATCCTCCTGAGCTGACTGTTGACAGAGTCTATTTCCTTAACCAGAGGGACCAAGATGGTGTCACTGATCCACTGCAGAAGACACACACATATACTGTATTTTTTACTCAAATTAAATTAAGGTGGTATTTTATGTATAGTACTTTGAAACTTCTGTGACAAAAATCACATACATTTCATTTAGAACTTTTTCACTACAAGTTTCTTGAGTATGCAGCTCAGTATATACATTTGAACACTCACATTTCTAAGCTTGGCTGTCCAGCTATCGATGCGGTCCACTACAGGGCGACTGGTCGTGATTCTTGCCCACACCTATAGCACACACAGGAAGGGAAAATATATCATTTGCTGCTACTTGTACATTCCACGGTGGGTAGCGCAGTCATCTCCCAACCGGAAGGTTGAAGCCGCAGATGGCTGCCTTGGTTCTGTACCAGAAACAAATTCCTTGTGTGCAACATACTTGGCCAATAAAGGTGATTATCCTTATCCTTTTTATTAGGGCACAACAACAAAACATACAGACAGACGGACATACAGACCTCCTCAGCAGCATGTTTGGAACCAAGGTCCGTTTCATCCTTGTGGGCAGATGGAGCCTGAGAGCGGCAGGCTGGCTGGTACAGGAATTTCCTCAGGCTCTGTGCATAATCTCCCACTGAGCGGCTGTAGTTCCAGAATGTTGGACTGTGGCTCGGAGACACAGACTCTGGACTTCCTACAAGTTAATCGTGAAATCTGAGGGGGGTTCATTTTACAGTCATATAAATCTGTTTTCCATATTAACTCAGACTGCAATATTAATTATTAGGGCTGGACCCAAATATTCGACTATTTGGACATTCACTTGGGTAGGTGATTGGTTTTCAATTGTAGTAAGTGAACATTTGAGAGAGCAGGAAATTTCAATGCAGTCTGAGATCAATAGTGAAGAGGAAAGAGAACACAATGGAGACAGCTTAGTCCAGCCAGCGGATGACAGCTGCGGATGACAGCCCCCCCAGCCTTAACTCTGTGACTTAAATTGATTACAGGACAAAATGACAGTTGATATTGCCAGGATTGTGACCTCCATGCACCCAGTGGAGAAACAGACAACACACTGTCTGCTGTTAGCCAAAGATCACTTATGAGGTAAACAAGCATCATTCTGTAACACCACTGAATAATTAGAGTGAACTGGGAGCTTCTCTGTAGTTCCAAAGATTCCAACACAGTGAGACATCTTCAGGTACTGCCAGATGGGCAAAGAGGTACTTTTAGCTGCAGCACAATCTCAGCCAAGAATGGAGACATAAGCAGTCAGCATAATACCCCCACCCTGAATAGAACAAACCATACCGATTATTCAAATATTCACCAATCATTACTAGCAAAGCTGTGAAGCCCATAAATTGCCATTTGGGACATCCATATTAATTATCTAATACATTTTCTATAAAGTTAGTACCCAGCTCTGTTTATAATAGCAGGGGTGGTTCTTTAACACTAACATATTGTACCTAGCTGGCTGCGGTGACTTTTCTCCTCCTCTGTGCGAAGGAATCTCTCCAGGGTTTTCAGATCTTCCATGTAGTCCTCCTTGCTTCCTGGGCAGTTGAACACAGAGGGGGAAGTGCGGTATCGAGTCCTCAAGCTGGAGCCTTCTGCTGGCCCAATGCTGCTGGGGTAGGGAGAGGAACCAGAGGAGGAACTGTAATTCAACACCTGAGACAAAAAGAAGAACATAACAGACACAATACAGAGTCGTGAACATGTACTGTTAAGTTATTCCAGTGCATTCATATCAGTGCTATGATAAACATACTTTTCCAAGAGCCACTGAGGGAGAAAAGGGTCCTCCCGCACTGTTTGGGGTAGAGGGGTTGCTGAGAGGAGGGCTGTACCCAGGTACACAGCTAGGGGAGAACTTTGGGCTGGTGCTGGCTGGTCGAGAAGGACTGAAGCTCAGCACGCTCTGGCCCTGTAGTGGGGATGACTGGGCTGGAACTGGGGTGTCCTTGTTTTCTGGCTTCTGGGGTGGAGAAGCCTGAATATCTGCATGGGAGAAATTGACAACCACCATAAGTCCTATACATAAATCAAAGTACATGCATATAAATATAATAATGATTAAATAACAAATGTGAAATGTTTTAATTCTGCAGGAAAACTGCATGTCACCTAAAAACAGAGACTCACTTGTGTTTCTCAGACCTAAAAGGCGATGCTGCTCAGGGGATACAGCAATGGTGGATGGAGCCATTGTATATTTGAAATACTTCCAAAAGTCAAAAAGAGCATTGAGGCTGAAAAGAGAGGCAAGCACCAGTTCTGTAAAGGAGGTCAGAAGAAAAGAACACACTTAGTGTACAAGGTCTTCAGTAACAAATTATAAGGAACTGTGTGTCTATTAGTGACAAATTAAATTTCAGACTTTCATGTACATACCCCTTGTGAGTGATATCAGATTGACTACTAACTGTAAGAATATTAGCCTTCCTTTCCCCTGACCCATATTGATTATAAACACAGAACATACAGTGAATATAATAAAAGGAAAATAAATTTTATACTGTTAAAGCATTTAACTAATTAACAGCAACAGGCATCTTAATGAAAATAAAATGTAGTGCAAACTTACCGATGTACCAAATAGGCCAGTAGGTGATGTTGTAGTATCGGCTCAACAACTTTCCTGACCTATCAGAAAAAGTAACAGGCACATACAGTAGATATCATTACATTGTGCATTTGAAGAGGAGATATGGAAGATGGAGGGGCAATACAGATCGGTGTTGCATTACAAATCTTATGTTTGCAACACAGCACGATAGTGAACGCAAAACAACTTACATTTCAGTGTAGATCATGCCAGCTAAGGACACATTGAGCACAGCCCAGGCGAGGACCACCTGGCGAGCCTGCTCCTCTCTCCTCATCCTCAAGGCCCTCTCTATCATACTGGGCATCCCCTCCTTCGGTGGGGTCAACATTATTCCTCTTTCAGGCTGGGACAAAGAGAGTGAGAACAACAGTCTCAGGCTTCTTGTGCATGCTACATTTAGGATATAGGATAGGATAGAATTTAAGACATATAAACCCATCTTTTAGTTAAACATTAAAAAAAAAAAAGCCTGCGTGCATGAAAACTGCACTTGTCTTACAGCTAGAAGTAGTGCTCAGTTAGCCGACCTGCTAGCTACACGGTTAGCAAAAGTTCTGCTTACATACAGGGCAGAATTTGCAGAGAAAGTATATGGTTTTAGTTTAGATTTCATTTCATGATATAGAACCGGTTATAAAGACACACAACCAATTTATAAATACAACGTGTAGTAAATTTAGATAATTCATACCACGTTGAAGTGAATAACAACCGCGGCGCTACATCGTTTGTATTTAACCGGAAGTTGCACTATGTACTTCCGCTTGCAGTAAAATGCTTGGACGTAGACATAGCTAATAATGTAAGGCGACTAATTCTAAATTTAAAAATGAATGAATAATAAGACAGTAAAACGTTGTAAACATTATTCCCTCGTTGCAATGGTGAAAACTTGCACTCAAGGATCTTGACCTTTACTAGGAGTATTTCCATTATATGCTGTTTTCATCTACATATATTTAAACCCTATTGCCGCTAACGTTAGAAACTGTCAGAACATGGTTTTGCATAAAAATATATAAAATAATTATACAAGTTCTTAACACTTGGGCATGTGATCACTTACAAAAAATTATCAGAAGGACTTACTGAATAACTTTGAGGTTCAGAAAATGTACCTAGTAATAAACTAATAAACTAGTTTTCCTAGTTAAATATCTTCATCAAATCTTTCTGATAATCTTAGTTTGCCTTTAGTCACAAATATGCTAGTGCACCAGTGAAATGTCATAGTCATGGGGAGGCACTGTCTATTTTATCTTACCTATATGATCACCACACCACAGAATAAAAACCATGACGCCAAATTGGCAATTAAATTGAGACTTAAAGCTCATCAAATCATATCTATCCATCATCATAAAAAGCTGTAAATGTGGATTTATTAATACATTATGCAGAAGACACGATGGAGCTCAAACATCATTTAAACATTTAGTTGACAGTGAAACAATAAAGAATATCACATTAACAGCCTGATTTCTGTTTAAGGGGATCACTTCCATTCACAGAGAAACTTTAAAGAATAAAAACATGCATTTAATAAATAAATGGCATAACTACAGTCTATTTAGCAATTACATATGATCATCAGGACTATATAGCAAGAATGTGCCATCACAAACTTTAGCTGACAATGAGCAACTACAAATTAATATCATGCATTCAATCCATTATTGAGTGAGGCATGGAAAATCAGAATAAGTAATGAATGATAGCTTATATAAACTCTATTAACTTATAATATTACACAGGCCTCCATAAAATGAGGAATAAAGACAATAGCTTTATAAAAAGTCACATCTTTATCAGTTGACTTATTATATGGTGTAAACAATTTTAGCAGCACTGCTATGCTTGTGAGAAACAAAAAAAATGTTAATTTTAATTGTGTAAAAAGTGGCAATTAAAATGTTCTGATTATGTAAGATGTTACAATTAAACTCTGTAGTTACTGATAGTTGGCAAAAAATAAAATAGAGGTAAACATCAGCATGTTAATAAAGTATATAAATAAACAACATCTGAGACACTGTGTTGTCACTGAGGGGGTGACAAGGACTTCTCAGAGTTATATCCCCCAACATCTAAACCACAGTCTTCACTATTGGCTGAGTCAACCAGTCCCTCTCCTGCTCCTCCTACCCTGCTGTCATCCTCTTCCTCTTCCTCCTCCTCCTCCTCCTCCTCCTCCTCTTCTTCATCATCCACATCCGGCTCCTTGTGAGACATTCTTTCCATCTTGGGCCCTTTGCATATCTTGAGGTGACGGGTGAGGTGGTATTTGGTGAGGAAAGCTTTGTGGCATTTTTCACAGACAAAGTCTCTGCGGCCATCATGAGAGTTCATATGCTTCTTCAGATGGTTAGTCTTGAGGAAATGTTTGTTACACTTTGGACACTGTATCTGGCGTTCACTGCAGTGGAAAAGGGCAAAACCATTATCAGAGAGTACATGCAATACTGCAATCAGCAAAAAAGGAGGACTCAATCCATTAGTCTGCTGACATACAGTATTAAAGAGTTGTTTACATTTACAGCTTTATCTAGAATGCAGTAAATAAGTTACATACTGTGTGTGAGAGAACATGTGTTGTTTCAGGTCATGTTTTCTGATGAATGCCCGGTCACAGAGGTCACATTTGAGTTTTTCTGCACCAGTGTGGATGAGCATATGTGACTCCACATGAGACTTCTGTGTGAATGACTTCTCACAAACTGTGCATCTATAGTTCTTCTGACCTGTGAGTGGGAAAAGTTTCAGAGGTTCAAAATATGTGACTCTTGTATGTGGCTTTTCTGCAAGACACAGTAAGAACTGTGGGGCTCAAATCATTCTAAAATACAGATGTTGCCAAAATTTTAGATCACCGTTTGTCCTTTCATTATCCCTGTACATACCTGTGTGAATCTTGAGATGCATCCTAAGGTTGCTGGGATCACTGAAGGCCTTACTGCAATATTCACACTTGTGAGGTTTCATCCCCACATGCCCCATGAAGTGCACATTGAGCTTAGTGGATGTAATGAAAGCCCGAGAACACATGCTGCACTTGAATTTCTTTTCCCGCACATGGCCCTGACCTTTTGCTTTGGTGGAAACATTATTAGGGTTTCTATTATTGCTGGCGCTGTTGTCATTGCTTATTGGTCCTACAGTGTGGACATGGCAGGGCCATGGTGAAGAGGAGGAGCTGGACGTCCCATTGGTCAGCTTCTCATCTTGGTGAGTGTGTTGCTGTTGCTGTTGTTGTTGTTGTTGCCCTTGTTGCTGCTGCTGCTGCTGCTGCGGTGGTGGTGCTTGTTGTTGCTGAGAGTGGTCCTGCTGTGATGGGCTGTGGCTGTGGGTGGTGTTATGGCTGCTAAGATGAGACTTGAGCTCAGAGAAGGAAGAGCACTCTTTGCCACACTGGCAGATCTGACCTTCGGGCACCTGAGGAGCACCTATGGAGACACAAAGATGGTGGAATTGTCAACCAATTAGTTATTAAACAACCATGCCAGCAGCGAGGGTTCAGAAGTATACATGTTTAATCATCTCTCATCTCACCCATCAGCCTACAGTAGTCTCGGCTATAATAAAAGAGCAGCTCCTGGTCTGGGTGAATCTCTGTGGTTGTACAGAAAAAGAGTTTACCATTGGCAGGGTACGCCACCAGGTTCTGCTCTTCCCGAGTCCTAAATACACAAACACACATATATACATTTAACAAAATACTGTATCAAAGGTCAACTTATTAGTTTCATTTGCTATACACAGGTTACTCTAAACAACATCCACTACATGTACTCTACTGTAAATTCATTCATTCATGGCACTGTGCCATACCTTGCCTTGTGGACAAACATCATCCAATTGCATTCATTCTCATCTGTTGTAACAATGTAGAACTCCAGCACATTGTTGTGGTACATCTATGGTAGAGAAGACGATTCATCATCTTTTATGATTTCCATTTTTTAATCGTGGCTTTGCGCTGCCTGTGACAACCACAATCCAAGCAAAGCTACCGCACTCACCTTCCATATCTGAGGTGTGCCCTTTTCTGGCCAATCAGAAATGTCCACATTTCTACAGTGTTGGCCCACCACTGGTCCAAAGCAGGTCCTTGGAGGAATAACGTCCCGTGCAAAAACTCCTAAAAGGGGCATAAACAAATTTGTTCAGCAATCTAACTGGTGGTCTACTACACCTTTTTAGCCTACCCATGTGTGGCATGTACTTACCTTCTATTAATCTTTTGTTTTCTACATAAAGGGATCGTAATAAATGATAATGATGCCTTTAATTTGTTGATGCCCTTAGAAAGTGTGCCAATAACCATGTTTGTGTGCATAAAATTTTGTGTGATCTTTTAAGGTGAGTGTGTTGCTGTTGCTGTTGTTGTTGTTGTTGCCCTTGTTGCTGCTGCTGCTGCTGCTGCGGTGGTGGTGCTTGTTGTTGCTGAGAGTGGTCCTGCTGTGATGGGCTGTGGCTGTGGGTGGTGTTATGGCTGCTAAGATGAGACTTGAGCTCAGAGAAGGAAGAGCACTCTTTGCCACACTGGCAGATCTGACCTTCGGGCACCTGAGGAGCACCTATGGAGACACAAAGATGGTGGAATTGTCAACCAATTAGTTATTAAACAACCATGCCAGCAGCGAGGGTTCAGAAGTATACATGTTTAATCATCTCTCATCTCACCCATCAGCCTACAGTAGTCTCGGCTATAATAAAAGAGCAGCTCCTGGTCTGGGTGAATCTCTGTGGTTGTACAGAAAAAGAGTTTACCATTGGCAGGGTACGCCACCAGGTTCTGCTCTTCCCGAGTCCTAAATACACAAACACACATATATACATTTAACAAAATACTGTATCAAAGGTCAACTTATTAGTTTCATTTGCTATACACAGGTTACTCTAAACAACATCCACTACATGTACTCTACTGTAAATTCATTCATTCATGGCACTGTGCCATACCTTGCCTTGTGGACAAACATCATCCAATTGCATTCATTCTCATCTGTTGTAACAATGTAGAACTCCAGCACATTGTTGTGGTACATCTATGGTAGAGAAGACGATTCATCATCTTTTATGATTTCCATTTTTTAATCGTGGCTTTGCGCTGCCTGTGACAACCACAATCCAAGCAAAGCTACCGCACTCACCTTCCATATCTGAGGTGTGCCCTTTTCTGGCCAATCAGAAATGTCCACATTTCTACAGTGTTGGCCCACCACTGGTCCAAAGCAGGTCCTTGGAGGAATAACGTCCCGTGCAAAAACTCCTAAAAGGGGCATAAACAAATTTGTTCAGCAATCTAACTGGTGGTCTACTACACCTTTTTAGCCTACCCATGTGTGGCATGTACTTACCTTCTATTAATCTTTTGTTTTCTACATAAAGGGATCGTAATAAATGATAATGATGCCTTTAATTTGTTGATGCCCTTAGAAAGTGTGCCAATAACCATGTTTGTGTGCATAAAATTTTGTGTGATCTTTTAAAAAGTACAAACCCCAATTCCAATGAAGTTCGGACATTGTGTAAAATGTAAATAAAAACAGATCCTTTTTGACTCATATTTAATTGCATATACCCCAAAGACAAGATATTTAATGTTCAAACTGATCAACTTTGTTTTTTGCAAATATTCACTCATTTTGAATTTGATGCCTGCAACATGTTCCAAAAGAGCTGGGACAGGGGTATTTTTACCACTGTGTTACATCACCTTTCCTTTTAACAACACTTAATAAGCGTTTGAAAACTGAGGACACTAATTGTTGAAACTTTGTAGGTTGAATTCTTTCCCATTCTTGCTTGATGTGTGACTTCAGTTGCTCAGCAGTCTGGGGTCTGCATTGTCGTAATTTGTGCTTCATAATGCGCCACACATTTTCAATGGGAGACAGGTCTGGACTGCAGGCAGGCCAGTCTAGTACCTGCACTCTTTTACTACGAAGCCACGCTGTTGTAACACATGGAGAATTTGGCTTGGCATTGTCTTGCTGAAATAAGCAGGGATGTCCCTGAAAAAGACATGAATGGCAGCATATTTTGCTTCAAAACCTGTATGTACTTTTCAGCACTAATGGTGCCTTCACAGATATGCAAGTTACCCATGCCATGGGCACTAACACACTTTGCGCTGATAGCAAGTTCAAAGTGTTTATTTGTCATATGCACAGTTAGGAAACGAGTTTCCCTGTACAATGAAATTCTTATTTGCCATCCACATGAATGCCACAAAATACAAATGAAATATAAAGTCGATCAATAAGTAACATAAAATCTAAGGCACTTTAAGCAGCAAATGCAGATCAGCAATCTGGATGGTCCTTTTCCTCTTTAGCCCAGAGGACACGATGTCCATGATTTCCAAAAACAATTTGAAATGTGGAATCCTCAGACCACAGCACACTTTGCCTCAGTCCATCTCAGATGAGCTTGGGCCCAGAGAAGACGGTGGCATTTCTGAGTGTTGTTGATGTGTGGCTTTCACTTTGCATGGTAGAGTTTTAACTTGCACTTGTAGATGTTACAATGAACTGTGTTAACTGACAATGGTTTTCCGAAGTGTTCCTGAGCCCACGTGGTAATATCCTATACAGAACAATGTCTGTTGTTAACGCAGTGCCGCCTGAGGGATCGAAGGTCCCGGGCATTCTGTGTTGGTTTACGGCCTTGCCGCTTAAGTGCAGAGACTTCTCTGGACTTTCTGAATCTTTTGATGATATTATGGATTTTAGATGATGAGATACCTAAATTCCTTGCAATTGTACGTTGAGAAATGTTGTTCTTAAACTGTTGGACTATTTACTCACGCAGTTGTTCACAAAGTGGTGAACTGCGCCCCATCCCTGCTTGTGAATGACTGAGCCTTTTAGAATGCTCCTTTTATACCCAATCATGATGCTAACCTGTTTACAATAAACTTGTTCACCTGTGGAATGTTCCAAACAGGTGTTTTTTGAGCATTCCTCAACTTTCCCAGTCTTTTGTTGCCCCTGTCCCAGCTCTTTTGGAACGTGTTGCAGGCATCAAATTCAAAATGAGTGAATATTTGCAAAAAGCAATAAAGTTTATCTGTTTGAACATTAAATATCTTGTCTTTGTGGTGTATTCAATTAAATATGGGTCAAAAAGGATTTGCAAGTCAATGTATTCCGTTTTTATTTACGTTTTACGTAATGTCCGAACTTCATAGGTATTGGGGTTTGTAACTTACTCTAATCCACTAATGAATATAGCATAAAACTAGCAGCTTAAAAAAAATACACAATTGTTGATTACACACAATGTTAATTCTACACAAGAGTTATGCGTTTTAAAATACTTTGTACGGATTAAATCCCAAACAGGACCATGAGGGAACATAAAGTAGACTAATACTCAAACATGTCATTTACACTCTATCAGCCCATAAATTAATGACTTAGGTCTGTCCTACAGTAATAGCCACAGAAAACCCTTTTTTAGGGGGTTTAATCTCTTACCAAGTGGTTCATCAGCCACTGAGATGCGCAAGCACAATGGACGTGGCAGAGAGAGGCGAGCACGACTTTGGATGGGTGTGTCAGGGATGAAGGTGACAGGGCCGTGCTCCGGGCAGTCCGAGGTGTATAACCGCTCACATAGTGTGCACCCTCCAAGATGAAATCCACAGATCAAAGGTTAGTAAGGACAGAATTACATACTTAAGCTGCTTAATAACAACTTACAGAGTTTGCCTATTGTAAAAGCATTGTTATTTTAATGCTATGTATTTTTTAAGATATGATGATTTCTAATACTTTTCTCAAATCCAAAAGAAATCCATCATTTTCAGTTTCTCTGATATATCCATTTATGTTATGACTGTTAATGACTGAAGTAACTATTACACTCACAGATGGTGTAAGCAGTGACCATATTCTCCTTGTTGGTGGTAGAATCCTCGAGTTGAAGGGTGGAGTTGACCAGCACCAGATTGTTTTCTGGACCCAGTGACACCTCTGCAGTGATGTGGGACACATTTACTGCCTCCAGCCCCATGCCAGAGTGTCCATGGAGAGACACAGGCTCCAGCTGGCTTTGACTGGCCATGGAGCCAGTGAGCACCACACTGACAACACCTGAGTTCAGTTCCCCATTCGGGTGGAGCTGCTCCCCAAGTCCTCCTGCTCCTCCTCCCCCTGCATTTCCCACCCGACCTCCCATATGATCCGGCTCCATCACCACTGGGAGTTCAAGCACCGGGGTTCCATGGAGGGGCATCACCCCACCAGATGAGTCCACACCAGTCAGGCCCTCATGAGGCTGAGGCTGTCTTCCCCCACCAAGCTGCTGCTGGGTGTCAGACACTGCCACCACACCAACTCCATCCATAGTGGCCAGCTCCTCTCCCATCCTGTCAGGGGACATGGGGCTGCTGACATGTGATTCCATGGCCAGTCCTGTAGAGTCCAGTTCATGAGCGCCAGTTTGGTGGAGGTCTCCCTGGCCACTGACCTGTCTGGAATCCATGGGCACAAGGCCCTGCTCCAGTGGGCCTCCAGGGCCACTGTAGGGGTCCAGACCTGAGTGATTGTTGCTGGCCACAGACAGAGTCCCATCCATGTTAAGGCTGCTGGGATGAATGTACTGAGGTGGTGGGCGATCTGCCAGATAGGACAAGATACCTACAGAGCAAAGAAAGTTAAAATGTGATAATATTTGTCACATGTGAAATAAAATAACTGAGTTGAATTCCCCTATTCAATCTTATTACATTCAATAAAAAGTTATATGTGGAACATTTTGACATTAATAAATCACCTTCATATTCATTTGACATTTGTAAAATTAACATAAACAATCCCCTAGCTAAGATGTTCAAACAAGCATACACACAACTGCAATCAAAATGATAGTTTTAGGAATTTCAACAATGATTATTTATATATGTCACACACAAACATTTACCCACCTGGCAATATATGACGAAAGTAGCTGCTCTCCAGGTGGGGGTATGGAGGAGGTGGCAAGGAATAGTTCCTCTCTGGCAGACCACACATCACCCCTCTATCACTCAGTGGACCCATGGGGAGCATCAGTGAGAGGGCAGAAGGAAGGGAGCCCAACGAAGGACCAAGGCTGGGGATGGCCACTGGCATGCCTGCAATTAATCAAAAGAAAAAAGAAAAATTACTTATTTATATTATCCTGAAAGGTACTAAAAACAAGAAAATTATAATCTGGAAACTGAGGACTATGCAGAACCAAAAGCATTACAGATCCACACATTTAAAAATAAAATGAAGGATATAATGAATCAAAGATGTTTGCATCAGAAATCTGTACACAAACTGCTTCTCTGTAACTGTAACTGCAGTCTGCACAGATCAGACAAGCCTATGTATGGTATGTGATGCCAAGTCTTTTAAAACTTGGTTATAATATTTTTTGTTTCTCAGTGTGTTCATGGCTTGAGCACACAAGCCTGGTAATGACGTCCATACCTGGAGTTGGAATAGGGTTGTGTGTGGGGGACGTGGGCAGACCTAGGTGGCTAGCGCTCACTGACGGCACACTGAGCTGATCCATGCCCACAGGACTCAGGTTCATGTCATTCATCCTGGAGAAACAATATCAAAGTTAAACCGAGACTGCGCAAATATCCAAAGAGATGTTTGTTTTGTTGTCAGACTGTTTATACTATAAGTCATGAACTTTGGCTCGGATACCTTGTGACTAATACAGGAGGTTTTTGATGATATTTTACAAAATAAATGGTAAACACCCCTATTCATTGTGAAGCATTAAAGAAATACACAGTCGACAGCCGAATACATTAGTATAACGTTAATTTTACCTGAATTCAACAACTGATGTCTATCAGTAACCGTGTACTGCAGCAGGTTGATTTATTTCTCTTTCTGTGAAATAAGAGACCCGGTATGAAAACAATTTAAGGCACCAGCATGCACATCGCAATTCTTATACAGCATTCGCTAAACAGTTATAACAACAATTAACATCTAACTCATTTAAAATTATTGGTTTGCAGCTATTTAGCACTGCTAACATTAGCCTTGCTAACTGACACCTTCATACATCGTTAAAAAAGAGAAACTCAATATTTAAGTTTTATAAACATATAGATATACCTCGTCACGACCAAATCTGTTGCTTAACTGCATAAATATAAATTGTTTTAACAGAAAGAGGTCTTAAAAACAACAACATGCCAACCTGAACTGGGCCATGCTAGTAAACTGCTTTGTTGCGCATGCGCTATAGCAAGTAAGGGGTGGAGGATTTGGCTGATCACAGATCAGTTTCCCTATCTGCCACTGTTCCGATAGCCTAAGAGGCAATTCAGTTAAAAGACTGGCTATCCGAATAAAAACCCAAAAATGTTAATTTGGTATTTTACGTGATATTATTTTATACTGTTTTGAAATGCTTTAAAATACACTTTCCTCGAGAAGGAAAATGTTCTGAGCAGATTATTTTAGAGATCAACTCAAACTACTGATAAGAATGAACTGTGCTATTTACAGTTTAGGGAACCGCATTATAAAGTATACTTATTGAAATGGAATTAGTTTCATTCCCAAATTGGTCCTAAATTTGCCCGTATGTCTTAACATAATTAACGTATAATCAACTATTTCCTAGAATAAATTAAGTCAGTTGCTATAATATAACCCCTTAACATTTGCCTAATATAGCTTTTTCATGCTGAGAACTGATTCGCCGTTGTAACGAAAGGAAGAAAACGTTTTGTAAACACCTTTATCTTAATGAGAAAGCTACAAGGCAGCATCTCCGCCCAGGATCACACCCACCCTTAGCCTAAAAACTTAACAAACAAGTTGTCACTCACAAACTTCTGATCGAGGACAGTCGATTTCTAAGAGATCACAATCTAGACATTTCGCAAAGTGGCAAGGAAAGGAAAACCTTGAACAAAACACGAGATTATATTGAGGAGAACCTGACAAGGTGAGTTGATATAATTGTGGGTCATTTGGTGCAGAATCGTTTACAAAGACCTATATTTTAGCAATTAACTTTTTCCTGTTAAAAGGGATTTTTTGTTATTCTTAGAAAGATGTCTTATCACAACATGGAGTTTGTGGAGCATGTTCCTTATGTCCCCCCCCTGGCTCTCCACGGCATCTCCATAGACAACAGCGGAGCGAACTACAAAGATGCGCGTCGACTCGGACTCCCCATCCACCTAGACGCTGCATACCTCGACCCTGTGCAAGGCCAGATGTTACCCTACAGACGCTTATCATATTTCCCCTTTCACGGAATCCTCGGTATGTGTGATCATTCGTTCAAGCCTGCTTTCATCCGCAAAAGGAACGAAAGAGAACGGCATCGGGTGCGCTGCGTAAACGAGGGTTACGCGCGGCTCAGAGAGCATCTTCCACAGGAGTTTGACGACAAACGGCTTAGCAAAGTGGAGACTCTTCGGGCAGCTATTGGCTATATCAAACACCTGCAGAGCTTGCTGGACTTAAACCTGTCAGGAAAGGAGATGGGGCTTGGAGCTGTGCGCAATCATGCGCCACTGCCACAGAGGACAGAAGACAACAGTGATGGAGAATCCAAAACTGGCCTCAGGGGCAGTGGAGAAATTGTTTTCTAGCGCTTGTTCTCGCTCTCTCTCCCGCTCTCTCTCTCTCTCTCCTTTAATAAGGAAAAAAGAAAAAAAGAAAAAAAAACAAAACAAAGAAGAACAGTAAAAATACACCATTGTGTTCCTACAGAAAAGATGTGCCATTAAATCTATTGCAAAGGAGCAAAATATGCAACAGTTTTCACTGTCTGCCTTTACAGTGGAGTTTCATTCCACAGATTTATGATTTGTATATTTTAGGTCATTATAATGAATAATGAATGACTTTTTAAGTTGAGGTTATTTTGTTATTGACTTGGTGGTTGTGTGCCTTATGATGATCATCAAATACCTCACTGATCGATGACTTTGACTTTTTATTGACCAATAAATTATTTCATTGAACAACCGCTTAGCCAAAAAGTTTTGAGTGTATGTGATACTTACATTTTGTAATACTGGAGTCCTGCTGTACAAATGTAAATAGGGGTTATTATAATTTTTATTTGGTCATTTGGCAAGTCAGGCACCTCATGAATTTTGAAAGTGAATTCAGTGTGACCTACCAAGAAGTGTTTGAGGAAATTATTAATATTTTTATTATTTTTTTTTATCTTGTGGTCTTAATTGAACAACTTCATCTTTAATATCTAAAATGTTATGCCAGTTTCCAAGCAATTTAAAGAACTAACAATAGAAAGACTTCAACAATCAGACATTTTGTATAATGCAATTTTAAAAATCCCAGAACTTCATATCTTTTCTCAGATGCAGACGTTCAGACAAATGTTTCAGCTTGACCTGTCACAGGAGAAGCACAGGTACTGCTGCAGAACCACCTAAATGTAATATAGCTAGTATTCATGTTATTAACCCTCAACGACATATAAATATGTCTTCTGTTGACTCTGCCTTTTCTGTCAAAATCTTGTGTCTTTATAAATTATCGACAATGGAAGTGAATACTATATTTCAGTAGCACTGGCCTAACTCAATCCCAAAGCACAGGCATGACATCTCAAACTACAAGTGCCTCCTCAGACAAAAGTCTCTCTTGTTGTTTTTAGCTACCTGAGCACTCTTCAAAGACCACCTACTTACTGCACTAAGGTCCTCCGGAAGTCTTTTCTCTTAATAGCTTAAGGAATGTATTTGTCCGTGAGCCCTCAGCCCCACTAGAGGAACCATCAGAAACACCTCATCTCTACTTTAGTTTTGTGTTAATATTTCCCACCTCCACTGACCTGCATGGAAACAGCTCCCATGTTCTGATTTTCAGTAATACCAAAACCACAAATAGTAAAAACAGTAAACAAGATAATATATAAGGAAATAGGATTTGGAGAGACCAGCAGAGTACAGTTTAAGTGAACCATGTTCATATGGAAGAATGGCATTGACAGCCACGAAGGCATAACAAACACACAACAAAAGGCTATGTAGTTTGTGAATTAGACTCAGTAATTAACCAAGTGCTGGTATTCTGGGCTTGATGGTTCAGTGGCACCCTGAGGATAAATAACTTAAATAAAAGCCTCTTTTATAATGGATGTTTTCTTTCCTGTTGCACAAAGGCTGATTCTAATCAAATTCCTGTGCCACTTCCTTGCAGACATCATTCTGTTTTACTGAAAAAGTTGCTGCTATAATGCATGCAGGTGAATTATGAATTACAAGAGAAGAAAGGCTTACCAGTTTTGGGAACTATAGGAATTGCAATTTATTTTTAGGATTATGTCACATGTACTAAGCTCCTCACTGTGAAATTGTCACAAGCATGACAGAAAAGACTGCAAAACCTTGCCTCAAACTAATAAATACAACAAAATGCTCTTATATTGCAAACTGTCTTCTTTCAGTTTTATTTATCTTCTCCCATAATGACTGTGAATTTCTGGTCAGGCGCTGCAGTTTAGACTAACAACAACATCTTCTCCAAACAGATGGGCATAAACACAGGGCCACCATATGTCCTGGAGCAAACACGCTTGTGGACACAATGACAGCACCTTCATTTTGTAAGAATGGGCATGCAAAGTATGAAAAATTAAAATAAGCTGAAAAACAAAGTGAAGCAGAGATTTATTAATAATAATAATAATAAACAGCATTTATATAGCACTTTACAACTCAGAAGGGCCCAAAGTGCTGCACAGTATAGACATATCTATCGACTAAAACAAACAAAACAATACTACACAGTCAACAAGATAATCATAGAGCATAAAACACCATGTAGAGAATGCCATTTAGAGGCAGATAAAACAGATTAAAGATCAAAAGCCTGTTTAAAAAGGTGCGTTTTTAATGTAGATTTAAAAACCGCTTGCTCTGTGATAGACCGAATCTCAAGCGGAAACAAGTTCCAGAGTCTGGGGCCATAAACAGCAAACGCACGGTCACCCCATTTTTTGGATTAGGACTGTGGAATCACTAGGGACAGGTTATTAGAAGAGCGCAGGGCTCTACGAGGAACATACTGTAGATAGATAAAAGTTCAGACAGGTAAAATGGAGCAAGGCCATGTAAGGTTGTGAACACAAATAAAAGAATCTTAAACTCAAGTCTAAAATGTACAGGCAGCCAGTGTAATGTGAGAAGAACAGGGGTAATATGGGCATACCTGGGAGTGTTGGACAGAAGCTGAGCTGCCACATTTTGGAGCAGCTGAAGTTTCCTCAGCAACGACTGAGATATACCAACGTAAAGGGCATTACAATAGTCTAAGATTGAGTCTAAGGCTGAGATTTGTTTTATAGTCAATGGTGAACAACAAAATGCTCAATGCTTTAATCAAATGGAGAGAAAAACTAAAAGAATATGATCAAACACATTTTCTATGTGCAAGAGATTTGAGTTCTGTATTAAACCTGCTCATGTTTATTTCTGTGTGCAAGACTAAAGAGACATGCATTGCAGAATGGAACAAAGGAGAGACTATCCTTGCAAGTGTGTATGATGTCTGGGCTAGATAAAGCTTATCAGCTGCAGTAAGATCAGTGCAGGACCACCGGGACAGGTAGCAACAATGTGTCGAGACAGAGAGCCCTCATGCAGAGATGGAAATGGAAAAACCAAGAGTTATGGGATAGATGGTAATGCTGGCTTGTCCTCTGTAGACTGCAGAAAAATACTGAAGCACTTCAGTTTAAAAGCTGAAGCATTTGTGTTGTCTTGAAATGTAATTTCACTGTAAAAGCACATTTCATATTTACAGTATCAATGCTATCCATTAGCTTATGGGATTCAGTTTTGTACAGTAACAGAGATAAGGTTTAAGTGAGCTATTGTGTTGTACAATAGTTAAAGAAGCTCATTTACTTAATTACAGTAAGCAGCAGTACCACAATAAAAAAATTACTCTATTACCAGTAAAAGTCCTGCATTTAAAATTTAAGAATAATAAAATCTACTTAAGGATCAAAAGTACTCAGACAAAATGGTCCCCATCAGTGTTATGTATTGTATTATTTGATCATTGTTGATCATGGGCAGTACTTCAGGTTTGTAGTTGTAGGTCCTGTCTGACTCATTGGAGCACTCCTGGTGCCACAGCTGCACTTTTGTTCTCTTGTCAGTTAATAAAGACTTTTCTAAGTTTCTGTGTAGTCCTGGTCCACATTTTGGGTCCTAAACCAGTATAGATATTAACAGAGCTGTGAAAAAGCAGTAAAGATCATGTTTCCCCTCCACATTAGTGGAATAGAGGAGAACAATACTTAAATGAATGTAGTTCTTATCATAGTTTGTCATGCTGAAGCTCTTGGAAATGTAACAGATCCTAATATACAATTACATAAGTTAGTTCATGAGCAGCACAGCAGCACAGTGGTCAGCCTCACAGCAAGAAGGCTCCAGGTTCGAGCCCGGGCTGACCCAATGCCTTTCTGTGTGGGGTTTGCATGTACTTCCTGTGCCTGTGTGGGTTCTCTCTAGGTATTCCAGCTTCCTCCCATAGTCCAAAGACATTCAGGTTAGGCTGATGACTATAAATTGCCTGTAGGAATGAATGTGTGTGTGTGGTTGTCTCTGTGTCAGCCCTGTGATAGACTGACGACCTGTCCAGGGTGTACCCCGCCTCTCGCCCATTGTCAGCTGAGATACTGTAGATTCAGGAATAAGCAGTATAGATAATTAGATAATGCTGTGAAATGACAGCAATAGCAACATGTCAGTTAAGTTATTCAACAATAGCCTGTCTGAAAAGCTGATTGACGAAATAGAAAACACGCAAAACAAATGATGCACTATTAACTCTAATTTAATTTAAATGAATATTTACAAATAGTTAAAAAAAACACCAACTGTGTGACATGGGTCTGCCTGTATATACTGCATATGTACACATGTGCTGGCACTCAGCAGGCTTGCAGTTCATTGAGCTCTTCAAGGAGAGCATCTCTTTCCACTTCCAACTTGAAGATCTGATGATTCTTGTCACTCAGCTCCTAAGAACATTATGGTTTTTGTCAATTTACATGCATTAAGTAGGCTTCAAACACTGAAAACTATTAAATACATTTCCAGTTATCCTTACGTTAGTCAATACTGTGTTGTGCCATCGGAGGTCACTGTCTGCCACTGTTTCAGGTATAGAGGGGTTGACGCTGCTCATGACATTGGGTTCACTCATCACAGAGCCCAGGGAACCATTAACTCGCTGGATACGTGACCTGAGAAGGCAGGATCGAACCTGAAGAGAGTGAAGAGACATACAGTCATAGTTTTTATCTTGTGGTATCCAAGGGATGATGTTCAATGAAGACTGATGAGAACAGCTTCTTAATCTGTTGAGATTTGAGGAAATATCTGTTTGAGGCTATTATTCACCAGCAAGCCTAAAAGCTAGAGCAAGATCTGAGGCAACCTACAGCCACAGTTTGACCTTCAGTCTTCAGATTCATCGATTTTGACTTTAAAATTCTGTAAATTACAATGAAATTGTATAATTTGATCATTTTTCTTAACTGAATTACTCATTGTTTTACCTACTTCTACTTAGAAGTTAGTGATTTTCAAAATACACTAAGTAAGTCTTAGATAAGAATGGTTGGTTTCATAAGTGGATGTTTGGCAGCATAATGTAGCAGCAGTACGCCCTCCATACCTCTGCTGCACCATCCTGGCAGGAGCCAAACCCAATTTTGGTCTTGCTGTTGTCTTGCTGGGCCCTGTTCTCCTCCAGCTGCTGGAGGTACCAGAGATGAGTCTTCTCCAGAATCTCCAGACCAGACCACAGAGCGTCCTTCTCCTTCTCTAGATCCTTCATGCGCTTAATCTAGAACAAGAGCCAGATCAGGTACAAAAACATTACATTTTTGAATATTTGAATTTTAAACTGTGTTCTGCACCTTCCAAACTGAACATGTTTGACAGATTTTGGATACCAATAAAACAAATTTAAAATGTATTAAACATCATGGGGTGACAATAGGTTTAATATGCTAACCATGTAATGGTTATCACAGGATGTATGCAATGACATGGTTTGGCTGTGGACCCTTGCTGCATTTCATGCCCTGTGTTACCCTTCCTGACATATATTCCAGTGCCTACTATCTAATAAAAAGACAAAAGTGACCAAAACTACTTAAAAGAATAATCCTAAATAATGGAGGTGCTGACCACTGAAAACTCAGTCTGCAGCCTGTGTCTTCCAGAGGTCCCAAGTCTTTGCCTGTCAGCAGAGCCAGTCTACAGCAACAGGAACTTTTTAGATCAGTGGTATACACTCATTATATGCACTTTAAAGGCTCAAACATAGATAACAGTGTTACACCCAACATGACATATGGCAGTGATGATCCACATTTGGTATCCCGAAGTCAGAACATCAGTCACTTTGTAATTTTAAAGGCAATCGACAAAGAACAGCTGAGGAGAACACTACAAACTCCCAACACTATTAAGCCACTAATGAATGGCAAAGTTTAGCTGAATTTCATTACTCACATCATTAAGATACAAATAAGTTCAATTTTCTGCATTTATTATGTTAAAGAGCCAAAGGCATGCTTTCCCTAGTTTTCAAACTTATCTGCAATGCTACAATAATGAATTATCATCTTAGACGTGACCCAAAGCTAAAAAAAATGAGGTGTACGTATGTTCTGGTACTTCTATGCAGAAACAACTTGGTTTATACAAGTCTCGCAAACTCTTGCTCACGAGACTTTTTTTCTAAGTATATAAAGTCTTACGTGATAGTTTCAGGACTTCCTTGAATAGTCATAATCTCCATTTGGAGTTATGATGGGTGCAAAGCTAATCTAGAGGTACCCAAGATTAAACATTAAATGACTGGAAATGAGCATGCCATGGGCTCTTTAATATTAGTGCTGTATAGGTCTGCCATAATAATCTAAAAATATACAACTGTTTGACAACTTCTATTATGAGACGGTGGAAATAGTAACGGTTATACTGAGCCTTTAACAGGAAGCTGTGAGGAGCAGACTTGACATGTGGTAACATGTCACTGGAGTGACTATAGCCATGCCAGCTCCAAAATAAAACTCAGACACATTTTACCACACATTTTAGTAGAATGTTATTACTGCATTAATATGAGTAATTTGACTATAAACAACATACTAGTGCTGTAATTATTTATTTAAGTTCAGTTTAGAAGAAACCAAAAACAGTCCTTAAAATGTATTTCATATGTTTATTAATATCCAGATGAAAATTTGAATATTTCACCTTGAATTTTAGGAAACTGATGGACAGTTTTATTATTTTCTGACATTTTTTATTTTATTATCTATACTGAAAAGAACTGGTAGGTGCAGCCCTAATCACAGTTTCATACTGTATTTCTAAACACCATGGTTACAGGCCTGTGTTTCTGCCGTGTACATACAATACTGTGGCACACCCTACTTACAAGCTTGTACCTGCTTGTACAATGCCTAACATACACATACATGCAAGTGTAACGTGTGGGCATTGTAAAATCAGTCAAAAACAACTTTAAATTCAGTCATTTAGCTCAAATCATCTACAAAAACACATCCAACCTCTCTCTTTAATTCTTTTCATTTCTTTTTTAGACTCAGTTCAAATGGAGATTTGGATTAAAAGTCATGAAAATGCAAATAGCTGCTTTTACAAAATGGTTCCTACTAGACTTTTAAATGATTAATATTACATAAAAGTAGAAAAGTTCATTTAAGTATACACTGACTAAATGTAGTTACATTGACCTGAAAAGCAGTAAATGCTTAACTTGAACTAATACGTCCCAACAGGCCTGTGCAGTTCACTACAGTCACTTCATCTGCTGTTCAGGGAAACGAGATACAGTAAATGACACAAGAAACTCACACAAGAAAGACACAACAAGATGTAACTGATTAGAAACTAAATCATGTTCTTTTCAAAGCATACATTCATATCACACCACACACCCAACACATTCTCCTCACCAACAGGTAGAAGCGAAGTGCATCCAGGCTGTAGAAGCTGGTTCTGAACGGGATGATAACCACAGTGTAGGAGCCGGAGTCAAAGGAACGAAAGGCCATGGGGAGGAGATCAGTCACTGACAGCTACTACTGCTCCATACAGCTGGTTATACACCAAACAACACAGCTCAGAAGTGGCTGACTCTGAATAATACCACTGAGAGCAAATGGGAGTGTGTGTATATTTATGTGAGAGAGAAAGAGAACACAGGAGTGAAAAAAAGCACAACAATACACAGGCATGAACAGCATGGTGCCCCTGGGGTGAGGTAGTGAAAAATTCCACGTCACTGTGGTTGTACAGTGACACAAAGTGAGAGGGAGAGAGAGTGAAACTGGCAGTACAGGATCAGCTAAAACACAAAAGAAAACAGTGAGCAAGATATATAAATGTGAAAGTCGGGTTGTGGGTAAGAGATGCAAAAAGAGGATACAGGTGCGATCAGACAGTTGCCAGTTCCTGTGTGATCATCATTGTTGACTAAAAAGATTGTTCAACCTAAATCTCAGCTTTATATGAATAAAAGGAAGAACTGAGCCTGACTCGACCAGCTCCAAAAAGGTTTCTCAGCTCAAAGGACTGGCAGGGTTTTCACTGAATCATGTCATCTGTCAACCTGACACTCTTCTGTACCTGCTGCTGCATAAAAAGAGATTGCATGCAGTTACCAGTATTTTCTTCTCAGTTTCAGGTGAGCTCTTTGTCCCAACATGTTTCCTGGAATGCAATACAGCCTGGGCCACATGAGATCACACAGTGTGTGCAGGTACAGGGGTGTGTGGAGTGTAGACCAAGTGAGAATACCTGTTAAGATAAACAGTAAATGAGTTAGTATGCATTTGTTTGTGAAAGCAGAGTAGAATGGATCCGGAGTGGAGTGCTTGTGGATTTCAGGCACAGTGAAATCAGTGCTCAGCTGTTCAGATGGGCAATGCCACAACAGACAATGAGTGGTGCTTGATATTTGTCACTGCCTCATACCAAACTAGTCATCAGACAGTGGGTGGATGTAACTCCCCAGTAACACTGTTGGAAGGATTTTTGCCTGATGGTGATTGATAAAGAATATGAAGATTACATTTAAATACTTATCTTAGGTAAAAGTTACCAGTGGTGAATATAATCACAGTTTGACATGTAATCACATCTTTTACTTAAGTAGAAGTTTTAATGCAACTATTCAAAACACACTCAGCTACAAGTAAAAGTCCTAACTACATATAAGGACAAGAGCAGATCTTTCTTGACTTAACATATGTATATATTTAGCAAAAGTTTCTTGTAATAAAATTTATCATTTGTTATTGTTTGTTGGTAATCTAGCCACAGGGGTTGCAAGCCAGTGACTTCTGTGCCGGTCCCAAGCCCGGATAAATAGAAAGGGTTGTGTAAGGAAGGGCATCCGGCGAAAAAACATGCCAAATTTAAACATGCGAATCATCAGTGTGAATTCCATATGGGATCGGTCGAGGCCCGGGTTAACAATGACCGCCACCAGTGCTGTTGACCTACAGGGTGCTGGTGGAAATTGGACTACTGTTGGTCGAAGAAGGAGAGGAGGTAGAAGGATTTGTAGACAAAGAGAGAAGAGGAAATGCAGGAATATAGGTCTGAGAATAGGGACTCTTAACATTGGCACAATGACAGGGAAAGGTAGAGAGCTGGCGGACATGATGGAGAGAAGGAAGGTAGATATACTGTGTGTGCAGGAGACCAGGTGGAAGGGTAGCAAAGCGCATAGCACTGGAGGGGGATACAAACTGTTTTATTATGGTGTTGACAGAAAGAGAAATGGGGTAGGAGTGATCCTGAAGGAGGAGCTCATGAGGAATGTTTTAGAGGTGAAAAGAGTGTCAGACAGGGTGATCAGTTTGAAGTTGGAAATTGAAGGGGTAATGTTGAATGTAGTCAGTGGTTATGCTCCACAAGTAGGGTGTGAGTTAGAAGAGAAGGAGAGATTCTGGAGTGAGTTAGATGAGGTGATGGAGAGTATTCCCAGAGGGGAGAGAGTGATGATTGGGG